GTAGCCTCGCATGGGCCACCATCGCTTTATGTCACTCACATCATATCGTCCCGTGATGACGTCATAAGCTCCGAATGACAAGGGTACAATTTGCAACTCCGATCCCCCTCCCTCCACCCGAGGAAATGGGAAAAGGCCCAATAATTTGACGAAGCCGAGCCCCGCCGGTCGGCCCAGCCCAGTGGGCTGGTAATGACCCGTTCAACCCGATCACCCAGAAAATGGGCTGGTCGTCGGAGAGAGAAAGACAGAGAGAGGGAGAGGGACAGAGCTAGGTGGGGAAAGGACGGGGAAGGGGGGAGGGGGGCTCCACGCGCCGCCCCGCTGGGCGCGCATAGCGATAGCGGGCTTAGCCGCCGCTAAACAGCTCGCGGGGGGCCCGAGGGGTTCGGCGGTCACGCGGGGGGCAGCGGGACTCGCGGGACCCCCATTGTGGCGGCGGTGGTGGAGGAGAGTGCGGTGTTTCGGATCACGAGCTTGTAGCGTTCCGCGTGTCGTATCGGCCACATCTTATATGGTCAGTCGGGGGGTTTACCGAACAGAAGGGCAAAAAAATCCAAGAAATCCCCTCCCGCTGAGGGTATCGCCAGGGCTGTTTCCGTCGCCGCCGCCCTGTAGGCCGCCCTGTAGGCCGCCCTGTAGGCCATAGTGATGGATGGTCAGGCCCGCCCTGCCCGGCCGCGCTCTATCCGCGCAGTGATCCCGATCCACCCCCATATGTGCCCGGCTGTGTCCGCCTTCTTGGGGGGCTGGAACAGCACCGCCGGACCACCGGACCACAACAACCTGCGCGAACGATGAAATCGTAGAAAGCCACATAGAGTGGCAACATATATCTGACCGAGATTATGCAGTGTCGCATAGGCCGCGTACTGTAAAAATACAAACTGTTGTTAACTGCTATTAATGCTGTGGATATTTTTGAAAGTGAGTCAGAAATTCATTAACGCTTGTCAGGTCAGAAAGATGACAATAATTCGAAGTGCAAAAAGCCAATTGGTATGCCTTTTCTAATTATTCCAGTTCTTCTTTGCGCCGCAAAAAAAAAACCATCAACTTGCCAGGAAGAAATGTTCTTTGCCGCGCGTCGGTTGCTCGTTCTGTGAGATCCCTGAATGTGTATCGAGGTGGTTCGGGGTACCGGTAACGCGCGGTGAGGGGAGGCGGTGACGCGGGTGCTGATGACTCGGCGCCGTCCAAGTGCTCTCCAGTGAGCCGCTTGGCAGCACTCCCGCCCCGCCCCGCCCCCCGCCCCACCCCGCCCCGCCACCCTGCACCGCCGTCCAATTCCCGCCTCCACCTTTGTCGCGGGCGTGGCGGGGTGGCGGGGCCACACCGTCTGGTGCGCCAGTTTCCGTTCGGGGAGCCGTTTGGTGTGCGAGTGGTTTCGGCCAGGGCCCAGACCCGGTCCAGACCCGCTCCGCTCTACACCTTGGCCCCGCCCCTGCCGTCGCTGCCGACGACTACAATGATCGCGCTTCTAATTTTAGAGCGGAGCACCAGCTCTCTTGGGCAGTCCGGTCGGGGGGGCACACCATACCATAGCACCGCGTCGGTGGCGCCTCGCTCGCCCAACCCCGCCTCCTGCCTGCCTGGGCCGATTCCGAATTCCGGGCCCGTTTCAATTTAACTGAAACAAAGCTGCTCTACATTCGCGCTCACATACAAACACACGTGCGCGCGCTCGTACACACACAAACAGAACACACACACCGTAGCACTAGCCTAGCTCTCGCCTGGTGGAGCAGTGAGGGCCGCCGAGGCGGCAAAGCGCCTGCCGACGCAGGCAGACCCGCCCAGCTCGCGCGCACGGCGGGGTGCCTATCCTCCCGGCCGCAGGGGTTCGGGGCGGGTGAGCCCGAGCGAGTGGCGGGACCGCCCCGCCCCGCCCAGCCACGCCCAGCCCCGCCCAGCCCCGCCCTGCCTGGCCCCGGCCCCCCGATAGCGTCAATTTCAAATCGAAAGCGTGTGCCAGCGTGGCGGCAGGTGCGCCCAATGGAAACACACGGCTAGAACGGGAAAATAAACAGAGCACTCGGGCCGTATGGTGCGCGCCGGGCGGGCAGCCTCAAAGATCCCCCGTAGCGATTGGTTTTGGTGGTGCGGCGTTGCCGGTCCAAGGCCGCGCGTGGCTGTGTGTTTGTGTGTGTGTGTGTGGGCGGGGGGGAGGGCTACCCGCCATGCCTCCGTGGTCAGACACATGTTTGCGAAAACACTTTACTTCCCCCGCGCTGTGCATTTCGTTTGAGGAACCATCAGTCAGAGCTGTCAGGCGCGCGCGGGAGCTTCCCCCCTGGGGGGCTTCCTCTGCCCGACCGAATTACAATGACGTTCATTTGTCGCTCGTACGAGTAAACGTGCCTCCCGCGTGCCAACCGGGCCGAGACTCGTGGTCGCGAGCGTGGCCGGCGAGCGGTGTACCTCCATCAATACTTTTATCGACTTTGAAAACTTAATTAATGAAACGTACTCAGTTTGAAGTGAATACCTCATTGTCAGCACATTCGACAATTAATATCAGAAAATATTCTTACTCTAAATGTTTTAGGACAATTAATATTATATGGCCGTTTTCGCGCAAAACTGTCTAGATAAATACGACAAATACTATAGTATTATCAGTTAGTTACTATCTTCTATCTTGCCCTTATGAGAGCAGAATGTCTATGGCCATTCAGCGTTCTCATCGGTTCCAAATCTTATGTCAAAGAGTCTTTCGTAAAAGTCGTAAATGCGAGGCATTTATGATTATTTTAGGGTTTTTTTTGCTAGATGACTTCTAAGCGTTTTCGCCGTCACAGCAAATCATGGGGAGAAAAACATGTGGGCAGTTAGTCGTATACTATACTTGTTTGTGTAACGGGACTCAGCCTCGGCGTCTCCCCAGATGCGCGTCCTTGAACTGTCTGCACGCGAATGTGCGACGCACGTGGCTGTCAACAGGAAAATGAGATCGCCTCATACGGCAAAAGAAAGAGTTGTGATCGAAAGAAAGTAAACATCTGTGTTTTTATTTCTGTGTTGAACTGTTTACTAGCATAGACAAAAATTTTGACTAACACGTTCAGCCATAGTTAAAAAGGGGGTTTTCTTTAAGAAAGAGAATACGTATACCAGGTTTGTCATCTAGTTTGGATCACATAATATATTTTCGTGCGCTAGAAACAATGATTGAGTTAGATTCCAGTCAGGCCATTTATCCCATCCGGATTATAAGGCACGTAAAGGTGCCAGCGTATTATTCTCCCCTTCTCATTTTGCTTATTTTTGTTTGTTTTTTTGGTCGCGCAAGCTGGGCTGGGCTGACGTCGCTCGGCGGAAAGGGAGGGGGGCGGGGAGGGACAGGGAGGGGGCAGGTCGGATTTGGGGAGAGGGTAGGAGGGGGAGGGTGCCACACGCAGGCCACTCGCCGCGCCTCGCGCCCGATTTATTACGAGACCCACTCTGTCAAACTGGAGTGACTCAACTGGTTGCGGGCCGGGGGCGGGCCGGGGAGGGTTGGGAACCGTAACTTGCAATATACAACATCCATCACTGACCCGGGTGCGATCGGTGCGCTCTGCTTCTTGCAGCTCGGCCCGACCAGGCCCGACTGGGCCCCGGTGCGTGTCCACCACAGACCAGACCGCGTCCAGTAACGACCAACACAGTGAAAAATATTCCGAGCATGAAGCTTAAACCGTAGCTCTATACAGCGATAGATTTCGAGGATTTTCAAACATTAAAATTATGTAATCTGAACCCATAAAAATGCGGCGTTTTACTCCTTTTTTCTTTTTTTGTCTTTTCAAGTGATGGTATACAAATGTGATTTTTACAATTTTCTTATTTCTCTCGTTGCAGGTCGAACCGTGGAGCGCGGTCCCGGGGCCCAGCTGACCAGCGAGCACGGGCGGGCGGCGGGGGCCGGCGGGGCGCGGCGGGGCGGGGCGGGACGGGGGCGCGGGTTCCTCCTTCCGCCGCGCGCGCCGGGCCGCGGGCCGCGGCCGGCATGAAGTGCCTCGTAGGCATTCTGTGGATTGTGCTGGCGCTCGTCTCAAGTAAGTACCGTGCGGCCGCCCCTTGCAGCCGCAGCTGTTTATTTCTTTGAATGTTCCCGCCTCCTTTGATGAGCGGGCGGAAAGGAGCCGCCTTGTATGGACCACTCGACGGAGCGGTTTCCGGTTTCGCAACTCCCATTGCACAGCGGCGGACAAAGGGCTTTTACCCCGCGCCAAGGACACTACATTGGCGGGTCGACTGCACCCGCCGTTCTCTTCATTCCTGACGTTTTCCTTTCCAACTCAGTTATTTCAAGACATTGTGCTCGGCGCGAGTCCCGGCCCTCCTCATGACTTGCTTTCGAAAATAAATGCGGGCCAGCAGTAGCGTATATACACTCATGGCGTCCGTGGAAGCGCCCATGGCAGCAGCGCCCGGCCCCGACACCCGGCCGGCCCCGCCGGGGGGACGCTCCCTCACTGTCCCGGCCGGAAACTTTCAGCATCAATATGTGTCGTCAACTTTGAGGCGGGCTGACGTCTTGTGCGACGGGGCAGCTCTTCCTCGCTGTATCCCTCCCCCTCCCTTGTCCCGTGCACCCCTCGCCCTTATCTCCTCGCGCCTCGTTATCTCTCACCCCCACCACCACCTCCCGCACGGGGCGGCGGTGCGGGGCGCGCGGCCAAACCCAGCAGCAGCACCCTCCTCCCGCCGGCCGTTAGCAAGTATATAAGAGAGAGGAGAGAAGAGAGGAGAGGAAAAAAAGCACCGAGGTGAAAAAAGGGGAGGGGGTGAGAGCAGAAATTGAGGGCAGCAAGGCGCGGGCATTAAGTGATAGCGTGCCTCCCAGATGACTGTGGCGGGGCGTGGCGGGGCGTGGCGGGGCGTGGAGGGGTCTGATGGCTGCCGACACTTATCTGTGGTCGCGGGTCACCCCGCCCCGCCGCTCCCTAAAGGGGGCGTTCCCGGAGGGAGCCCCGGTTGGGTTACACATGGTGGTGGGTCCCTCGCGTCGCCGCGGCCAACCAAAGTTGAGACAGCAGACAGCCGTGGCGGTTCATGTCGCGGAGGACGATGTGTCGCGGACGGGGAGGGGGAGGGGAGGATGACGGCAGGATGAGACCCAGGCGGGCGGCGGGGCAGGGAGGAGGAGGAGGAGGAAAGTTCGTTGACGCGCGGTTGATGGTATGGCTTTACACCGCGCGCCGCGACGCGCCGGGGATGTGTCATATTTCATAAATGTTTCCGACGGGTGAAAGCTCCCTCGGCGGCGGCCGCGCGGGCGGCGGCGGGCGGGCATCGTTGCCACCACCGTGGGCATGGACCACCGGGTGATGGCGCCGCGCTGGCCCCGCGCTGCCTTTGAAGGCCCTCGCTGCTGCTGCCGCCGTAACCTTGCAGGCAGTATGACCCCCACCCCCTACCCCCCCTAAACCTTCCTAGCCTAACGACACGCGCGTATCCAGAGGGACCCGGGTGGAGTCAGCGGGGTCACGACACCTGACACCTAGCTGTAAGAACACTGTTAAAAATACCGTACCCAACTACAGCAGATACTACAGTATTTTGTGTACGGTTTGTCACAGTACGGAACCGTACGCCATATTTTGCTGTATAGGATACACTACAGGCAAATCGTAGTCCCAAAACAACATCTTTGTTCTGTACCATACCCAGAGCGTCACTGTCCTGGAGATTGACTCGCTAGTTAGCTCTCGCTGATGATGCGTCACGCCAGATAAGTCATACGCCAGAGGTGCCGCAGTCCAGCTGGACAGCGCCCTGCATGTCCCCGTCCCTGAGGATGCAACTATTTTTGAGCTTGGAAGTTGGCGGTCATTTCCCGACCCAACCCTCATACAAAACAATTCCAACAGCATTCCTGTAGACATACTGTAAGGGTACAGCAACGTCATGACTACAGTTTCGCTACGGTGCTCCTGTACCTATTCTGTATGATGTACGGTTTTGGTACGGTACATCCTGTACCTCTCCTGTAGGAGGGACGCTTTGACCACAGACGTGTTAGGCAAGTGTATGACCAATAGTTTCCTGTACCTATTACTGTGGTTTTTTGTAACAGTGAAGAGGACGCCCTGGACGGGTTAAGCACTTTTGCAGTTGCAACCCTCGTAAATACGAAATAAACCCGACACCCCAAGTGTGGACGGGTTGTGTGCTCGGATATTCATTGAGTAAGCGAATCCCTTGGATGCACGCCTTTCGGATAGGCAGGGGCTCCCCCTTGTGGAATGCGGCCCCCTTATGGCTGCCGCGCAGCCACGCGACGGCGCGCCTGCCGCTAAAACCGCATCCCCCCTCAGCCTCCTCTGGCAGCCCGACAATTACCGACTTGGAGAGTGCCAGCAGCACACACGCGCGCGCTTTATGGCCACGCGGATAATCAGAGGTGGCGTACGGGCTGCGACTGCTCCGCTTCACGACGGCTGTCGCGGGACGAGTGTCGGGTAGTGCGTCGGCGGCGGGGTTGAGCAAGCGCACACGATAACGAGGGGTCGATAGCCCCTCAGGGCTGCAAACTTTTGGGGCAAAACTTTCAACATTTTAAAAAAACAGAACAGAAAACAGTGGAAGGAAAAATGCTGTGGACAATAAAAAAGAACTTTTATAGTGCGAGTAAAAAAAAGAACTGTAATATAGGGTAATAGTGGTGTTTTAGGGCGTGTCTGCCATTCTCCCCTGGGGTAGTGCTGCTGGTGGCGCTGCGGCCGTTTGGGCTGAGCCGCCGTTAGGGCCGAGGCTTATTAAGTCGCACCCACGTCCGGCCGTCGGACGAGCGCGGCGCAGACGGGTTGGGTGGGATAATCCGCCGTCGAATAAGATCCTCCTCTGTATGAGTGCGGGAAAGAGAGAGAGATGAAAAGGGGGTTAGGGAGGAGTGAGAAGAAAGAAGGCGTGAGGGAAAAAGCGCGGCTGCTGTCTTTTCTTTTCTGGCGCTTCGGGCTCACAGTTTGCTGTGTTTTCATACTGCAGAAACCTGCTGGGATATGCCAAGCCGAGCAGAGAACCGCAAGGCCGCTTTGGTCTCTTTCCCTTCCAAACCAAACAAGAAAGTTAAAAAGATGTTTGTGGGATTGGGAATAATTGCTCTGAGTAGATTTAAACATCATTACAAATTCGCATTTTTCAGTCAACTTTACAGATATTGCGTTCATTACCCTAAATTGTATTTTATCAGGTCTAATTGAGTTACTATAGCAGCGATTTCGTCCACCAGTTGTTCAAGCGAGATTTGTTTGTTTGTGTCGGAAAAGTTCCATAGAGCAATTACCATTATTTTATCAAAGTCAACGGGAAGGGTTTGAGTTTGAGGGGAGGGGGTGCGCTGCTGGTGTCTTTGTACGTATGCCTACGAGGCCTTGCGTAAATTTCTTGCACTTTCATGAATTTTTATTTTCCTTGTATCGTTGAGAATTTTTTTGTAGACACGATTTTTTTCTTTTTGACTTGGGCCCCCTCCCCTCTCACTCCTACACCCCATTTGCCCGGCGGGGCCTCGGCCGGGCCCTGAGGGCTGATCAACGCCGAGCGCTCCCTTTACTGCCATACGTGACGAGCCTCGGGGAGGCAAAGCGGCGGCCGCGCCTCGCCATCTCGGCCCCTACCCCGCCCAGCCCCGCCCCGCCCCGCCCCGCCGCGCCCGACTACGGCACGGCCAGACCACACCAGCGTATCAAACATTCACCATTCGCGAAGAGATTGTTTCCCGGGGGAAGTCCGTAATGGCGCGGCGCCGGCCAGGAAGGGGAGCGAGAGAGAGGGGAGATAGTGGGGAAACGGGAGGGGAGCGAGAGAGACCGACGGCGCAACGTGCGGCTCGCACCACTGCCCTACCTCAACGGCGAGCAGTAGTTACACAAACATGTCTGTTGTGATCACACTGACAACAAATTTTCTTCAGACAAGACAAAATGCTCTCGCGTTTTCATCTCAAATATGACAATAATAGGATTTTTGTCTTGATCAACGTGAATGTTCAACTTCAATGTGCTTATTGTTCCTTACCTAACGTAAAGCACGACAAAAAACAACACGTGAAACAATTTTCTTTTTGTTGTTCTGTAGGAATAAAAGTATATTGCGGACGAAACATCGTAAAGCTAAGTGGGCAAGGCGTTTATACTGTAGCATCGACGAAGCAGGTAATCGCTTGACTCATACCATTAGGGGGTCTGTGCACACAGCAGCGGCGGCAGCGTCCCTGGGCCTGCTGCGGGAGCACGTCGGGATGAAACAACTCGGAGGTGCTTAATAGGCTGTTTGCTCTTTCCTTTCACATGAGCGAGCAAGAGAGGAGAGAGAGAGAGGGAGAGAGAAATGGGGGAGGGGCAGGGCAAGGGGCGAAGGGAGGAGGGGTTGAGGACGTTTGGGCGCGTTTGGGGGCAGGGCCGGGTGCCCTCCCTCCCCTGCGCCGCCACCGCCGAGGTCCGCCGCACCCGCAGCCAAAAGCTAAGACTTTACATTATTCACGGACCCTTTTTAACTTTCTAGCTGCAGCCCCTGGCCGGGGCCGGGCAGGGCGCGCCTGTTTCCCCGGGATAGGGGATGTAGTAGAGAGACCGACGGAGGGCGGGAGGAGCGCGATACGGAGAGACGTTGACGAAGAAGGAGGAGAGCAGAGAGGGGGAGGCAGCAAGCGGCCGAGCGGCCCACCCTAGCCAAAGCCAGTGCCTGCCGGTCCGGCGGTGGTCCGCAGTGCACCTGCTATCTTTTGTCGGCGCTGCTCGGCTCGGCCGCTCGGTGGCGCACATTGCGGCCGGGCTGGAGATGGCTGGGGGGGCCCTGTGCCTCGGCCTATGGCCGCCCCCTGGCCGGGGGAGTGGCCGGGGGTGCTAAATATCTTAGAGGCAAGGCTGAGGCCGGCCGGCTGCGGCCGCCGGCGCCTTACAGCCTCGGGCCGTACACTTATTACACTCCCGCCTCCCCTCCTGCTCCTCGGTTCTGCTTCTCCCAGGGGCGCCTCTACCTCTCCCAGCCGATCGCGTCCTCATCGTCTCACCTGCATCGAAGGTTTTTCCTATTTATCATAGCTGAGCTG